CTTGTTGGAGATGCTATTACCTACAGATCATCCCCTGCGCTGGTGTTTCAGCCACAGATGTGTTGTACATCTCTCTCTACTACGTATATACAGACTTTGTCTGGTTATGGAGGACTAAAAATAGGTTAAAATTCACTGGTGCAGGTGTACTGTCTCTGATCCGAAGCAAAGTTTTTACTTAATGCAAGGCAGTTGTCTATTCTGTTTGGATTTTACATATATCACCAGAAAGCCTCCAGGAACACAATCTAAAATGGAACTTTTAAAGATTCATAGCTGTCTGATTTAAAAACAAAACAAAACTTTAAAAAGTCAAAAAATCTGTATTTTAAAGACAATATTAACCAATATTGTATAACCAGTATTCAGAGCATCCTACTTTATATTCTAACAGCGTTAATAAAACACACATTTCTCTCATCATTCTCCCCATTACTCCATACAGCTTAAATCTCCCAAACTAAACTTACTTTATAAATTTTGCCTTAAACTTACTTTATAAATTTTGTTTTAAAAGACAAGCAAATAAACCTAGAAATAAATTCTCAGTTCTTGAATGTTCATTTGACTTAAATTTTTAATATGCAGTATCTGCTGCTTATATGGAAAATTCAAATTAATAATACTTTGACAGAACTTTAAATTGCCCATTTTACTTCTAGTAAGAACTGTTGACTAGATGTTAAAGTTGTAATACATTTATACTGCTGGCTCAAAAGTTTTTTGTTTTTTTTTTTTTGTCATGGTTGAAGGCAAGAGGAACATTCTAAAGAGATCCTTTAACACACTGGATGTTTTAGTCTCTCTCCTCTGTCTCCCCTCACCCCCACCCCATTGCTGTTCCATCACCTGCTCTGATGTTAATCAGAATGACTGGGTCATCTGCTTTTATAAGCTTGCTGGATTAATTCTTTTTCAAGGTCATCTGTGAATTGACTTTCGTAACCAATTATAAATTGGATGGCATTTTAATATTCTACCCTTTCCCTGAGCTTTAATGTAGAAGTGATGAGAGACAAAAAGAAACCCAAAGGAGTTTGCATTTTAGGAAGTAAGATGATGAATGCCATTATCCAATACCTTTCTAATTTCTCCTACCCTGGACACCCTTATCTTTTCCACTAAGTTCAGAGGGAGCTGAAAAAATTAAACATCTTCCAGAAACAGTACTTTGCTCTTTTACTTAATATAACTGCATGTGATCTCTGGAGAAATCTGTCAATATTGGTATTTGAGGCACTTAAATCTTGACATTCAGAGTTCTGCACTGTTATGAATGCATCTCTATTAAGGCAACAGAAGCAGCTCTCTCTTTCTCTCTTTGATATTGTCTTTTGAAATTTAGCATAAGAAGCAATATTTTCCTTCATTTTATTTTGAAAGACTTTGAAAAATTGAGGAAACAGCTTTTGAGGCCTCACACAGCAATAAATTTTAGTTGTGTAATCAAAGATATTTTCATTGATTTTTTTTTTCTTCAGACCCTATTAGATACCTTCAGGACATTGAATTCAAAGAACACAGCTTACAAAGACCTGTTGAAAAGGATTTCTGCTAGTCAAAGACTTCACAAACATTTTCTAGATGTACACTTCCCAGATGGCTGTGTTTAAGTGCAACCATAATATTTCCTCTTAAGCATCTTTTGACCTGATAATGCTAAAGCAATGGATTTTCCTAGACTGACTCTTTGGCATGTTTTCTAAGCATAGAAGACACGCTGTGGCTTTCTGTTTGACCTCTCAAAGACAGTGCAGCAGCCTCAGTTCTCCCAGACCAGTGCCTTCAAAGACCTCCAAGATATCTCCCTCATCTTTCTCCTACTCCATAATAATCAAATCAGCAAAAGAATTTCCCCAAAAGTTTAACCATACACTTGCACTCACTTAACTATTCACTTCAACTGAGCCAACTAGTTTATTTTTTTAGTTAGTACAAGAAATAGATATCAGTTAAAGTTAAACATTTCTTGTTTTTGTTTGTGTACCACCCTGCAGTATTCTTTAGGATAAATTCAGAAATAAAATGAGGATGTCAGGATCCTTCTCTACTTATTTAGGGATTTGATTCCCAAATATCAATGCTAATGTGTTATTCACAGTCTTTGTCAAGATTATTTTAAAGTATTTTTAAAAATTAAAAATGAAACAATAAATAGAATGAAAAATTGATAACATTGTTGCTATAGAATTTGTTTTTCAAGGAGAATGCTGATGTTTGCCTAAGAGGATTTTGTTAGGGATTTCAGACTGTGATGCAGAAAGAGGAGATATGGTGTTATCAGTATACCTGATCTACAAAGCCAACAGAAAGCCTGGAAGTAGAATTTGCCTACTTTGCTACAGTATTTTGGGAAAAGAGTGAGTTTTGTTCAGATAAGGACAGCCTTGAATTATGGTTTTGTTAGAGAACCATGCAAAACTCTAGGTTTTGTAGGGCTTTTGTTCTAAGGCACAAACAGGAGGTGACAGCTGCTTAGTGTTTCAATTTTGTATTCACAAGAATTGCAAACAAAGAACAAAATAAACAGCTTATACGATGAACCTTTCTTTGTGCTTGATTTCATTGCTTTTCAGTGCTGCCTGGGACTTATCCATATAAAATCAAGACAATAAATTCAGTTTTTGCCTGTCTCCTTTTTTTATACTTTCCTTTTGAAGCTACGTGGCAGGCAGATAGTGCTGGAAAAATAGCTGCTTGCTTCTTCTGCAAAACTTGTACAACACTGCATGTTACCCCACGGTCGACAAGTCTTTAGCCATTATCAGGCAGATGATTGCAGGAATGAGAATTAATCTGGACTCCTTGCCTAGACATAGAAGTGACAACTTGAGACTATTCAACTTAAAAATCAATGTGTTAAGGACAAAGAAGCAGAGGAGAGTCATGTCCTATCATCAATAATCTCTACCAGCCTCCCACCAGATTATGTACTTTTTTTTTTTTTTTAATGCTTATAATCTACACCTGCTTATAAACTATAGGAAATATGATATTATGCTACAATACTATATCAAATCTTTTTATCTTAAAAACAGAAATCAGAATTAGTTTTGGACATGCTGAAATACTAATTCCCCAGTAATTTCAGTAACCTACTTCTTTACTGGATAATAGCCATTTTTCACTTCTGCTCTCTATAGTAACAAGACAATGTTAGACTGAAATAGATTTTTTAATGCATTCTTCTAAAATTGAAATGCTGTTTTCTCCTTTCTAAGAAAAATATTTTTGACATTCCCTTTTCAATGTCTTCTCCAGAAACTATTGATTTTTGCTTTCTGATATGCTTTAAATGGTATTCTAGCCTTTCCAAAACCAGTGAAAAAAATTCACACTGCTATAAATGGAAGTAAGGATTTTGTTTTCCAAGTATGCACATTTATGCACAGTTGTTCTTTTGTGCACACGCTTGGGTAGACCACTTTAGATCAGCTTTCAAGCACGTCTTTCACAGTTTTGCCATGATCCCTGCTCACTCAGCCTCTTTCGCTGTTTTTCAGGCACAGAAAGTTGTTTTAAATGGCACAAATTCCATGCAGGGAGACCTTGTGCATTCAGGCAGGGGATCTATTGTTTATGTGCACTAGGGATAATCTATAAAACACACTGCGGAGTACAAGTTGGAGTCAAATAGGTCACCTTAGAAAATATGGGAGACAGCTGCAAAAAATTTGTTGTTCCTACTGAGGTACAAAAATGATGCCATTTTACCCACACTTTTGAATTTACTTTCTGTCAGCACAGGAGCAATTGGGTTTTATTCCTGCAAATGCGAACGACTTTTGAGGATGTTTGCAACATTACATGTTGCAGCTTGACACAGGCATGGCATGGCACTTCCACCTCCCGAGGGGGTCACTGTGTCTCGCAGAGGAGCCACAGAAGTGAGCAGCACGTGCTGGGCATGGTTATACACACCACCAGGTACAGGTGTTCATTTAACAATGCAATGTCCAAGAAAGGAAAGAGATGAAATGTCTGGGTGCACCAGGGGAATGACCTGAACCCCTTGATTTTTCCTGGCCCTCCTTCTGACGTTATTGCCCTTGGGCAGTTGGGAAAGGAGAGGCTGTGCATGGAGGGCGGTAACGTTTCAGGCCAACACACATTCAGGCTTCCCGTAAATCCATCTGCAAATGCTTTAGCTTGCAGACACACAAACCAGGATGGGGAAGATGAGACGCAACCCACCTCTATCTGCTCTCTCCATGTCTTCTATCCAGGTCTGGAGCACAGGGAGAGGTCCAGCCTGGCAGGCTTCCTCCTCTGAGGCTTCTCCTCCTGAGCAGGAGGTGCACAACTGCTCTTGGCCACATAAGGAATGATTCGAAATGATTCCCAGCAGTCCCTGTGCCGTTCTCCTACCTCCCCTCACTCCTCTGCCCTCCCTTGAGTGTGGCAGATTTCAAAATTAAGGGTGGATTGGGGGGATCGGGAAGGTCCATTTTCAGTCTGCTCCTTTTGTATAAGAGGTCTTAGCCAGTGATGCAGCTATGCTTCCCTGGCCTGGAACACATTTTGCACTGCAAAATAACTTTTTCTTCCTTCGTAACATGATGTAAAGATGCCATGAATCTATAGAAAGTTATACCACAGACTGAGTGAGACTCAGAATGCCAAAAGCACAAAAAGGTCTCACAGACATTTGTTTTCCTGTCCCATTACTGGGCCCATGCGATCTAAGGCTGCAAGTCCCACATTTGTATTCAAGAGGTCATTTGTCACACACAGACAAATAAATTAGGAGGAACCTTAATGGTGACAAGCATACAAGACTACTGAACAGTAGAGGCAGTTCAGGCCCTCTGGGAACTATGAGAGCAAAGTTTCATGGTTCTCTCATCCAGTTGCCATAAATCCAGTGTATCAGCAATGAATGTATTTAAGTACATCTTTGAACTGGCATTGCATATACACATGCAGTTAATACGTGTGATTATGCAAGTTTAATCTTAAAGTCTAAAGCTGTAGGAGCTGTAGGTCTATATAAAGCCTACCTTTCAAGGAAAGATGTTTCATGTAACACTTGCTTGACCTAAAAAAAAAAAAAAAAAAGTAATTTAAATTATTCTAAGATTTCTTAATCTTGTTTTACTTATTTGCCTGGGAGAAAACAGTGTCTCTTTCAGACTTTTTTCATAAGCATGGGAAATTCCCCTCACATTAAAAAAAAAATTATATATATATATATATATATATATATATACTGTGTATGTTGTACAACCAATTATAATTAAACCAGGAAGCTAATCTTTACAGTGTCAGAAGGACACGATAAATTCTCTCTGTAGTGATTAATATGGCTATTCTGGCAGGGGGGATTCAGAACTGGAAGCTTTATCTCTTCTGGCTGTCTCCCTTGTCTGTCTTCCACCAAAGAATTGGCTAAATTAAAAATACTGACCCAGCCCCCTTCCTGTTTCCCCTGGAAATGCTACCAATTGTGAGCAGTAACTTGAAGTCATAATTATTTCAGCATCTTTATTAAAATATAATGTTGAGATTTTAGCTGAGATTAAGTGTATTCATTGCCCTAAATTTTATTAAAATGAAATATAAAATCTGGGGGAATTACTGAAGAAAGTGACTTTTTCTCCTCCTCATCCTCCCCCCCCCCCTTTTTTTTGAATATTTAAACTGTAAAGAATTAAAAATCCCTTTTTCATACATCGGTGCAAAGATCAGCTAAGACTAAAACCAATACAGTTAAAAGGGAATGATTCTCACTGGCTTTACAGCAGCAAACATTGCCATCCTGATTCTGAAGTGGCAAGAGGCAAACACAGAACATTTCAGCAAAAAGCACTGTTTCTCTAGATGTTTTGGTGAGAGCTCTTCCCTTTGTAAAGCAATCTGAATATAGCAGACAGATCTCAGTTTAGGATTGACTTCAAAGGAACAATCTGTCAAATGCACTATGTTCCTAGCTCAGCTGAGGATGGAGACATACTTAAGGGCTTTCTGTCTGGAAGTACGAAGGAAAGGAGTTTTGCTGAGACCAAATCCCCAGTTAGTATACTTCCAGTAAATCAGAAAAGCGATATGTAGTCAGTCTATCTTTAAAAAATATATTTAAAAAAAAAAAAAAGAAAGAAAATAAAAAGAAAAGAAAAAAAGACAGCTTAGTGATTAATATGCTTACTTGATGTCAGATATATAAATTCAAATCCTTCCTCTGTCAGATTGTGGAGCAGGGATATGAAGCAAAAACCTCATGCTTCTGGAAAAGATGAGGCAATCTTAGGTAGGTTTCTGTATCAGTCTCTTCTGAAAAAAAAAATGTTACCACTGGATTTAAAATACAGAAATAATCACTGCAGCACAGCTCTGCTTCATTGTGAAAAATACTGTAATGTTCAGGCTACAGGACTTCCCTGGTGTGCCTTTCTACCATCTGACTGCATTCTGTGCAAGACTTCATGCAGTGGTGTGACTGGCTGTTCGATTGACCTGTGATCAGAGGATAAGAATAATACAGGAGGGATGGTTCTCTAACTTTGATGTCAAGGTGTACATGGGGGTCTAGTGGGAAAAATGTAGATCGCTTTACAGGTAGGAAAAGGGGAGTGTAGGGGAATTGTCTCTGGATGGCTAATCACAGCACAGTGGGGATTTTGAAGATCCACTCTTGAACCGGAAATGGTAGATTGATGCCTAAAGTCCTACAGTAGATACATTTGGGTGCTCTCAGGGTAAAATATGCAGGACGGACACTACACAGTCAGAATGGAAAGGAATAGGATTCCCTCCATGTTGCCGCAGCTGCAGTTCCAAGAACCTGCAACCTTATCACTAAGCAGTCTCCTCGTGTCCAACCTCCCTACCCAGGACAAGTCTCTATGGCATGCCCACACTGTCCTGCAGGAGCAGACATAAGCAGGATGTGCTCTATCAAATAAGCACATGGTATTTGTAGATGACACACAGTAACTATTGTTCTTAGTTTGTTTATGCTTTATTCCCTGTCACTCTGCTAATTTATTATTGGTCTGATCCTTATCTTTTACTGACAGACATCAGAATCATTTCTAGACCTCTGGGTGGGGAACGGTTTGACATTTCTTTTCCAGTTAAGATCGATATCAGATCAGCAGGAATGGGTCAAATATTTGTAGCTCTCATTCCTTTATTATTTATTAATATTCAATTGTCTCTAACCTCTTATTGACCCTTCCTATTCAACTAATACTAAACTAAGGCCCTTTGAACCAAGTGCCAAGTGTTGCAGCTGGATTGCAGGCTGTCAGCCTCAGTAATGGGCAGCTAGAGGGACAGCATGCTTCCCTCAATGCTACAGTTTGCCTTACCTCAAAAAGTGTTACTGATAATGAGCACACCACCCAGGGAATTTGGTCTGCCCGTAGTGTTCATCACTGGCTAAAATAAACTGCAGTTTCTAACCTCTCCCCCGCCTTGCACTACAGTTGATGAAGGCTGAGGAACAAATTGCTGTGACTGGGCTTTTGTACCACACAACATTTGACAAAGTATATGGTGGTTGAGGTCTGAAACTAGCAGAGCAGTGATGACAGACCCTCCCTTTTGGGAAATCCCATGCACATAAACAATCTTCAAGGGCAGCCTGTGGCTGGCATTACTCTAAATGAAGCCAGGAAGTGAGGCTACTGTTTGTTCTCATAGGTTATTATTCACGATTTATTTTAAATATGGTTTTATATTAATATATATTTTTATTTTTTTTTATTTTTTTTTCAGCTAAACAATAGGTAGGACTTTATTTTATCATATGAATAGGTTACATATTTTTCCCAATGATGCCCAGAAAAATAGGGGACAAATAATAACAAATGTTCATATGGGGACAAAAGAGTCTGGATCTGCAGGTTGCACATGTGCACTGCTGCTTTTACACACACACACACACACCAGCAAACAGCACACAACCCAATGGATTGGCTATACACCCAGGTGGAAGCCAGTATACCTCATTCTACTGGAGATTGTTGCATGTTGTCTGCTGCTCTGTGATGTTAATATTAGTTAAATTTGAAGATATTTTCACAGGACCTGTGAAAATAAAAGGAATTCATGGCCTGTAACACAACCTAAACACAAAAATAACATTACAATAATCATAAGAAAAAAAAACATGCTTGTGGATGAAAATTGCAAGATCCAGTCTACTTTGTGAGTAGATAGCTGTTAATGTTCTCCTGGAGAAGCTGGCAGCCAATGGCTTGGACAGGTACATGCTTTGCTGGGTTAAAAACTGGCTGGCTGGTCATGCCCAGAGAGTAGTGGTGAATGGAGTGAAGTCCAGCTGGTCACCAGTGGTGTTCCCCAGGGGTTGGTGTTGGGGCCCATTCTCTTTAATATCTCTATTGATGACTTGGATGAGGGAATTGAGTGCACCCTCAGTAAATTTGCAGACAACATCAAGTTGGGAGAGAAATGTCGATCTTCTGGAGGGTAGGCAGAGGGACCTGGACAGGTTGGATCGATGGGCAGAGGCCAATGGGATGAGGTTCAACATGGCGAAGTGCTGGGTCCTGCTCTTTGGCCACAACAACCCCATGCAGTGCTACAGGCCTGGGGCAGAGTGGCTGGAAAGCTGTGCAGAGGAAAAGGATCTGATTGATGCTCACCTGAACCCAGCCAGCACTGTGCCCAGGTTGCCAAGAAGGCCAATGGCATCCTGGCTTGTATCAGAAATAGTGTAGCCAGCAGGAGCAGGGAGGTGGTTGACCCCTGTACTCTGCTCTGGTGAGGCTGCACCTCAAGTACTTTGTTCAGCTTTGGGCCCCTCATTACAGGAAGGACATCAAGGCTCTGGAACAGTGTCTAGAGAAGGGCTACTGAAGGTGGTGAAGGGCCTGGAACACAAGTCCTGTGAGGAGCAGCTGAGGTAACTGGGGTTGTTTAATCTGGAGAAGAGGAGGCTCAGGGGAGACCTTATTGCTCTCTGCAGCTACCTGAAAAGAAGGTGTGGGGAGCTGGGGGTTATCCTCTTCTCCCAGATAACTGATAGGACTCGAGGAAATGGCCTCCTGTTGTGCTGGGAGAGGTTTAGGTTGGAAATTAGGAAACATTACTTCTCAGAGAGTAGTCAGGCATTGGAAGGGGTTGTCCAGGGAGGTGTTGGAGTCACTGTCCCTGGGGATGTTTAAGGAAAGAGTGGGCCTGGTGCTTAGGGACATGGTTTAGTGGGTGACATTGGTGGTAGAGGGCTGGTTGGACTAGATGATTGTGAAGGTCTTTTCCAACCTTAATGATTCTATGATTCTATGTATGGAATATGTGACTGTGTCTTCTGAACTGGGTTTGCTAAGCAGAACCTTGTTTATTCTTTGTGGAAACAGTTGGTCTTTGGTTCCCAGGATTTATAGACCTTAACTGTTAAAAGGTTTTTTTTTGAAAACAACATTCTCATAATGTCATAACAGAGATGTTTTATTTATTTAATTTAAATTGAGAAAGACTGTCACTACTGCTAGGATCTTAACTGCAGCATGAAAGAAATACAGCTATGACCCATCCATCACTTAGATATTAGACATTTCTGGCAAGTAAACACTTCCTTACTTAAAGTATAATTTTAATTTTTCTGCTTTAACTAGACATAGACTAACACCCCAATTCTGAACACAACACATCCTGGAGCATGGAAAGTCCATGGGCAAATGTCAATTTTGTTTCTTGAGCTTATCTCTTTTCAAAATTCACTCCTTCCAGAGTATAACAATAACTTCCTTGTGATTTTTATGTAACACAAAATTTCAAGATCCTAGGTACCATTTTATGAGCATAGAGCCGTTTAAGACAGCTAGAATAAGTGTCCCTGCATATATTTGAAATACAAGTACAAAGAACAGCACTTCTTGTCTTTTTAAACTGGGAAAAACAAAACAAAACAAAACCAACCCCAACATCATGCTGTACAGCAAGAACTTCTGAAATCTTCTCCTTCTATAGTACCCAAGTAATTTAAAGTCTCTGCTTCTATCTTTTGCAAGCAAACAATGAGGTACATTTGAGACATCAGACCTTCTGGAGAAGGAAATGCTTCAAGAAAGGGGGTTATTTATAAAGGGAAAGGGGGAAAATGCATCAGTAAAGTGAACTAAAACCTTTTAGACTGTCCAGTCTCACAAAACAAATGGCAATAGATATTTCTATAAAAGGCATGCTTACCTCTTATGACCTCCACAACAATTAATTCACTAGGCTCAGAATACTCTTCCTTCCTTTTATTTTTTTTCATTCTGAATTAACTGCTTGTGTAGACAAGCATCTGCTGCCTCTCCATCTCACAGCTGCTCTCTCTTGATTTTATTCTTACTAACTTGTATTTCTTGCCCATTTTCAAGCAAATACTTCAAGACTCTCTCTTAAATGGTCAGTCTAGGCAAAATGCCAGGAAGTGAAATCACCTCTTTACTACTAGATTTCCTTCTATTTTACTTTATTTCCCTAGGAAAGTTTGTCTCATTCCAAATAATCTGCAAGTCCTAAAAGCCTGTTAGATAATTGCAGTTCTACAAGAAGATACTAAAAGTATGGGCTTTTTCACTTCAAATGAAAATTTATTAATTTTACAAAATGTTTTTAGCTTGGTAAAACTTGTTAGAAGATTAGAAACCTATAATAGGATATAGGTGAATTTGAGTTAATAGCTCATTCTTCACTTTTTTTTTTTTTTTTTTTTTTTTTTTAATAGGATGTGAGGAAATCAGAACTGCACATATTTTCCCAGACCTTTGAAACCTATGACTTAAAAAGCCTGCTGATAACATCCCTATGGACCAGAAGGGAAATGGCATAAAGATGGTGTCAAGCTCATTCTGACAATAATGCTTTTTGAGGATTGCCTTTGAGCCACAAAATTGCTTTAAAGCTTTGAAGACCCCTCGGTCCATAGTGTGTCTCCCACAGCTGCCTGTAGGAATATGGTTGAGGAACTGTATGCAGTCCTTACAGGGTAACTATCTTTTATTTTATCTGTCATTCTTATCTTGACCACATGTTGACTGCGCTACATTGCCTGGAATCAGACTGCTCTGGGGGCTGCCCAGCTGTGCAAACATGCCTAAGGTCACCACCATATTACGTACCAGCACACATGCAGGGATACGGCCCCTTGGCTCCCTCTGCTTTTCCTAGTGCTTCCACACTAATGAGCGATATTAAATCTACTGTCTTTTCTTTTGATTCCTTCCCTATTCTCTACTTTTATCATGCCTACTCATTTTATTCTGTGCAGCAGCTCCCCATTCCTTCAGCTTAACCCTTCACTATACTCTCAGCCTTATTTTAACACCACACTGCTTGGGTATCACAGAGGTGGTGTCAAACATTATGAGATTAATGACAGGAGTAATATTTACATTCCTTCCCCCCTCTTTTAAACTCCTTATAGAGTTATGAAGACAAAGATGACAAACTTAATACCAGTTTACACTTAAAACAACTCATTGAAATCACAAGTACTTAAACTGTCTTTATTTTCATATATATTTATATGCAAATTTTACATACAAACATTTAAATACATGTACACACACATGAACACAATTGAAATCTTGAATCAATTGAAATTGAAAAGGATTTTGCAGCATGTAGACACTTCATGTGAACCACTAGAACATCAAATCAAAGCCCTGTCCTCTGCTGGCTGTTATTCAAGGTACAGAGAAAATGATGCATGGAAAGTTGATCATGCCATGACCCATCTCAGTGCTGTTAGTAGTTATGACACCGTTAGCCACAAACTAGAAGATATGGTTATACCCTCTTTGCAGTTCCTGTGGCCCCCCCTCACACCAATGTGTGCTCAATATGAACCTCAAAAGGGGCAACCAGACATTATATACATAATATAGCAGATCTGAAGTCTTTGGAGATTGGGACAGAATGAGTTTGAATTATCCAGTCAACAAAAGGAAGGCTAGAGTGAGAATAAAAAATATTTATAGACTACAGTATTTTTGGAAAAGATTTAAAGTGTTTAATTTGAGAGTTCTGGAGTTCATTTCCCCTAGCTAATTACAGTATTGGATTTTTTTTAATAACTCATGGAAGTGTTAACAGAATACATTATTTTCTTGCATAATTTGTAATAGAAACATGAACATCAAAACTAAAACAGGCTTGAAGGGCAACATATGCATATTGGGTAACACTACAGTCACATCTTTTTTTTGTTTGTTTGTTTTTGTCAACACATTCCATCTATTAAATGCCACTTCATAAGATCAGGATTAGTTAAATTTTATGTCCACATCATCAGTGTAACACATATATCACTGTGCTCATAACAGCAGTTAAACATTATTACTTATTTTTTTTAAAGTCTCTTAGCTATGTGATAATGTCACTGGAAATTGTTATTACAGTAGACAGGAACTTGCATGACCCCTGCTGGGTTATCTTTTCCAAACTGTATAAGTGAACCTTGTTATCTGTATAGCCCTTTTTAGAGATGAATAATTAAATTCTTATGGTCGTGGAAGTTGTTGAAATAGGATAAAAAAAAAGGCACACCAGATTTCACCTGGCATTTTTACTCCCTGTTGCAAGTTACTTAACTGAATGCAGTGAAATTCATGAGAAATCTTGGCACACTGATGAAATGAGACAGTTCTCACTGACTTCAAGAGTATCTGTTTTTTTAACTTAGGCATTTTCTTAAAGAATATAACGTATTGTGAGAAAATATTTTGCTTAAACACTGCTTAAATGTGAGATGTAAGGCTGTCTTATTATTTGGTCAACCACTTCTTAAACACAGTTATCAATTTCATGAAGCACTGAGTGAGAGAGGGAGGATAATAACGGAGGTATGTCAAACAACTGTGATTCTCACTTGTTCAAAATACCTCTTTCCACTAGGACATTTAAATTATTACCTATCTCTTGGCAAAGCACTGAAAGACGGGGAATATGTTTTGACTTTGATCACAGTAAATTCAACAGGAAGATTTGTGGATCCAGTTAGGATGTTCGTTGGGATGAAGGAGAAGGAACAAGTTCACAGGGACAATGCAACCCCTTAGACTAAATAAAAGCTGCTTCTGCCTTTAGATATCATTTCCAGGTTTGTGGCAAAAAGGGCAAACAACATTTTCCAGACATTTTCCTGTATCCCCTTTGGTTATTGGAAATGTCAACAGCCAGTTGAGCTACTTTACTCCTAACAAACACATCACAGTGTAATGCAATCACTTTACTTGTCCCCTTCACAGCCAGGCAGATCTGTTACTGCACCATCCATCTCCTCTACTTTGGCAAAGCAAAATGCAGTTCTTAGTAAAAAAAAGGATACTGTACCTCTTTGCAATCCTACTTGCAATGAAAACGTATCCCCTTAAGCCCTAGCAGTTGTAAAGCATGTGCCTGAATATGGCTGACATATTTTCTGGTTACTCACAAAAAGAATAGTTTTAATTTACCACGTAAAAATGCAAGAAATAATCCACCATAAACAAACAAACAAACAAAACTAGTTTTATTAGTTTTATTAATTTGCTCATTACTCTTTAATCAAAGCATACCTATTATTATAAGGCAGACATGGTCACACAATGAAACAAAATAACTAATTGCTCTCAGTAAAATTGCAATTAAAGGAAGCCATTGTATCTTCAGAAGCCCAGATCTTACAGGCAGGAGTCTAAGAAACAACTATAGCTAAATAAAGCTTTTACTACTGAGCAAAACAGCTACATTAGGACTTAGACATCAATTGGTCATAAAGCAGTCCCATTCACACAGTAAAGTCTTCTTTATATATAGAATTTTAACTGCCTCACACGTTGACTGGTGTGTGAGCAGCTAATCCTCTCATTAAAGAAAGGAATTCTTCAGGAAAAGCCCTATGAAGGCACTTAATGAAAGGGTGTTTTCTTATTTGCCTAAAATGGAACCAAAAGAAAATTGAAAACCAGAGGGAGAGCTGCTGTCTGGAGATCTAGTAGACCCGGTATTTTTAAAATATTTTGCAGGACTCTTGGGTGCAGCTGCAGGAATACAGGCAGATCCAGCAGACAAACAGCTCCCATCTCTATTCCCTGCTGCAGAAAGCCTTCAGCATCGGCATGTAGTGTTTGCTGTTTCTGTTTGGTATGAATTCCTCAGATGAGACAAGACTGCCCAGGGCACTGGTGGATAACCTGTTATTTCTAAATGGCTGGTTCAAATGTAGCCTAGGAAATTAAACTCATGGCCTGTGTGAAATGAGCAGGTAGTACCTGCCAATTATCTGGTGGACAGGCCATCACAAACAGGTCACATCGTGCCCTTGCTGACAGTGGAAAAGAGAAGCAAGGGAGCAAATGTTTTTAGAGATTGAATTGCATTCTCCTCTCTAGGGACATGGCCTGAGGTCTGAAGCACAACAGGGAACTATTTTGTTCCTTCTATTTTATTCATTGTGTTTATAAAGGTTTGTTTCTATTCAGCTGCAATACATCAGCTCCATTTTGAAAGAGAAAAGAGATGAAGATGTAGGATTACAGGTGCATATTAGGCAAAGCCTTGTCAGCAGTCCTGAGCAAGATGGCAGCAGTAAATATAACTTATGGCCTCCAATATAACAAACTCTCCTCTCCCAAACCTATCATCAACTATATTTAGCTCAAGATACCAAGCTGACAGGTATTTCTAGAATTGTAGCCTTTGTGCATCATCAAGAGCCATCACTGGACCAGAGGAATGGTCCATTTAGTTTGTGTATGTTCAAGGCTGGATCCAGTGAAGAATTAGCGATCTGAATATGAGATGTTAACAGCTTCCAGATGCAAACTGTGCTGCATCTCCGCAGCTGGGAGCACTGGCAGACTGCAGGGATCATCCTGTGCTCACCCACACAGACATGTGGCTGGGCACCTATGGCCTGGTGCACTGTAGAGAGGAGTGAGTGTGGGGCAACAGCTCCAGCAGGCAGCAGAGCTCTTGAAACACTTCAGTGGCACCATCATCTATATGTCTTGATTAATCAAATTTCTTATTTCCTCTAGAATTCAATCAACAGGTTATTGTTTGGTTATAAAAACCTGCTTTCTATAAAACTAAGTCTACTGCCACCCAAATTTAATTACACTCCCAGCTGTATATAGTAAATTTAATGTAACTATTTTTACTTAAGCAGTTTGTGCTCTTGAAATATAATAATTGTAAGAATATAGGCAATATTTGACCTAGTTTCAGTTCTGCTGAATAGTATGAGAAAAAAAAATACAAACTGAATGTAATTGTCTGCTTAAACACAGTTATGAACATGTGAATTCAGTTTAGCCCTAATCCAGTTTTTCTATTTCATGTATTTTGAAATGCTGCTTTGCTAACTCTTAC